GGAACGGATTAACCGGATTTACATTGAACCCTATGGGGAAATTTCCTTCGGGTTACGACCCACTCGGGATACGCCCAGAGTCATGGAACGGATTAAGTTCATATCCCGAGGTACCACTGTAGAGGAGATGGGAAGGAAATATAGAGATAACCGTGTTTTGTTTACAATGCATATGAAAATGACTAGAGTGACAAAAGTGATAGGAGGAGGGGATTCTTATTGTCTTTAAATCTAAAAGAACACAAAATGCTTCCACCTCTTTCTAGTTAGATTTCTAGGGACTGTGTTATCACATTGTGCGAGCCGAGAATGGCCAGTCTAGTATTTCAGGCTTTATGGGAAAACAGGAGTTTGTTTGTTTGTTTATTTGTCACATTTGCTATATAAATATACATCGCCCATCTCACACAAAGCGACTCTGGGCAGAGTTGCACAAACTGGGGAAAAAGAGATTCCAGGGTGTCCTAATCACAAGAAATTAATAATGAGTTCACAATTCTTCTGCAGTTGTGAAATTCATTTGATTAATCATGTTACAAACATAGCTGGCAGGTGCAAAACCCCATCAGTTTTAAAGTTTTTGAATGGCCTTTTTTCTTACAGGAATTACTATGCAAAAGGCTATGCTGATATTTTAACTGCCCTGGATATACAGATCTTCAAGGAATATGCTTTTATGTGTAATAACTTAATTAACTAACTGTTAAACCTGTTTGCCTTCTGTTTCCCAGGGCTCTGAATAGAATAGGCATTTTTGTTTTTAGAGTACTAATTGATGCTTCTTGTGGTGTTCTGTAAGTGATACTAGCCTCATTCAGCCTCCAGTGATATGTATGAATGACGATAAGCAAAAAAAAAAATCAGCTACTTTGATTGTTGTATCCTGCAGAAAGGCAAGATATATACAGTAGTCATCATCATCATCATCATCATCCTCATTATCATCATCATACAATAATCCAGGGGGATTTGCCGTAGCCCTTTACAATTCAAAATGCAGTTCTGATCCCCTGTGTTCTCAATTAACGTATTTGCAGATTTTTTAAAAAAGAAAGTATTTGGATTCTTTGTAAACCTGAAAGGGATGCTTAAAAGGTAGGTAAGTAGAAAAAATATGTTTGCAAAGCAGGTACTGTATCTGAACTTTATTTCCATCATTTGAGTTGGTTCTGCCTGAAATATCATGCAACTGCAGATAATTCCAGAAAAGATTTAGTTGATCATAAGTATTCTCAGAAGGCAAATGCAAAGTATTTTTGCAAGGTAAATTAATTGGAATGCAAAACATGATCCCCCCAACTAATTACACTTACTGAAAAGCAAATATAAGGAGAAAAGACAATAGCTGCTACGTGAAATATGCCAAATCACAAAATAAGGTAACTACTTCTCTAATGCAGTAATAGCTTTCATCTGAAGAAACTCCAAAGCAGAACACTGATTGCAATACAGGTAGTCCTTGTTTAGTGATCACAATGGCAACCAGCAACTCGGTTGTTAAGCAAAGCAGTCACTAAGTGAAACCATGGCTTAGAAGACCTTGCATATTTTCTTCAGTTTGCTTGTACAGGTAGTCCTCGCTTAGTGACTGCCTCATTTAGTGACCATTTGCAGTTTTGGCAATGATGAAAAAGTAATTTTATGACCAGCGCTCACATGTGTAGTCTTTGCAGGTCTGTAAAGCAAAGGAAAGCTGAAGTAAGATCATAAGCACAGTCGCGGTTTCACTTAGTGACTGCTTTGCTTAACAACCGAGTTGCTGGTTGCCATTGTGATCACTAAACAAGGACTACCTGTATTGCAATCAATGATGAAAAAGTAATTTTATGACCAGCGCTCACATGTGTAGTCTTTGCAGGTCTGTAAAGCAAAGGAAAGCTGAAGTAAGATCATAAGCACAGTCGCGGTTTCACTTAGTGACCACTTCGCTTAACAATCAAGTTGCCAGTCCCAATTGTGGTTGCTAAATGAGGACTACCTGTAATTGTTTAATTTCTTGTAAACAATTTCACAGTCCATTTGGCTTGAAAGCAGGACTAACTTTGAACATTGAAAGTCCCACTCCTTGCTGCTATTTAATAGGCTTTGATAAACTTAAACTCCATGAAACTTAATAATTGCATTATATGCTTAGGTGGAGTCAGATATTGTGACAAACCCAGCATTTCCTTCACACTTGGTAGAACATGTATCTGAACTCAGAATTCATTCAGATCTTAATTGTAATGTGACTCCCCCTCTGACCTACTCTTATGCTTAATTTATGAAGAAATCATCTGGAATACCCAGGATCAGGATATGCCAGATATTAAATAATCAGTTTGAATTTTTCTCTGTGGAAGTTACATAACTTCCATAGAAATCAAATTATTTTTTAAAATCTTCCTTTCTGTTTAAGCAGCTGGCAAACTGCTGTTGAAAGGTATATTAAGCTTTCCTGGTGATTAAGAACATAGGAACAAATGCAGTGCCCTGCTGGACTGAACCCTGGCCCTTCTAGTCCACCAGTCTGTTTTCCCAGTTTTGACAGATTACCCTTGTCTATAATGGTTTTAGAAGCACGTGAGCATTTCCAAGCCTTGTTTTGCTTAAGTCTTTAATAAAAATATTTAATTGGAAACTGAAATTTGATTTAGTTCTTGACTTAGCCTTGAGTTGGTAGACTTTTAGGCCTGCATGTTACTTGGTTTTAAGGAGATGGACATAGAAACTGGAACAAGGAGCCTATATATATAAGCCCAAGTCATTCCCTAGTATACAGGATAAGTGTTATTAATAATCAAATAGATGATTGAAGTAACAGTTTTAAGGGTATCTATTGTAAGGGTAGAAATTCAGATGTCTGTTTCTCCCAGCAACAGTAGCAATGGGACATGTTTCAAAGAGGATTTAGGATTTCCGTATAAGGCTATCAGTCAATAGGCTTTGTCCTTTTCAACAATCATCTCAATATTTCAGAAAACCTGTAAATCTAGAAGTCTACTTATTGTTCAAGAGAGATTTGCTTCCAGAAAGAAAGAAAAAAATGATGCACCATATTGCTTGGCAGTATACAACATAATGTCAGATATTAGTAACTACTTGAAAACTATTTGAAAGCTAGAGCTTTTGCAATACTTCCTGTTAAAGTGGTTATTTCTAATTCTTGCAGGATCTATGTTCAGGTTTGCCATCTGGGCAGATTTGCCACGATGAAGAGAGACTAAAGGTGATATTTACAGATCTGGCCCGGCACAAGGATGATGCCCAGCAACGCAGTTGGGCCCTCTATGAAGATGAAAGTGTCATTTGCTGTTATTTGGAGGAACTGCTTCAGATTCTGGTAATTCCTTGCTTTGGCAGAATCTTTATAAAGTTTATTTGCTCAGCACTGATTATTACAAATGAAAAATCAACGGTAAGATAGCTTAATTCATGGCTGGGCAGTCCACAAATTAGTGGCCCATGGAGCCAAGAGAAGCTCAATTTCTTTTGCTGCCAACCAGCTGATGAACACTCTCAAATGGAACCATAAGGCTTGGAACTCACCTTCTAGCTAAGATAATAGTAAAATTCCTAATGTCATAGTCAAGTTAGATGATATCCGAAATAATGTATTGTTGCCTCTTAGGCTAACACATCTCAGGCATAGTCAGAATAAATGTTCTAATAATTGTCAAGCTCATTAGACAATTTTTAATTCCCTCCAAGTGAATAATAATGTTCATCTTTCAGCTGGGTTTGGCTCTTTTTCAAATAAATTGTTCATATGGTTACAGATAATTCCCAGGTTAAGAATGCCCGGTTTAAGCATGCATGACCCATAGTTAAGAACGGAGCCTATTGCAGCAAAATTCGAGTTAAATACACAATGATTCGAGGTAAATACCCAATGGTTTGAGTTCATTACACAATACTACTTATATAGTATTATACAATAATACTCTTCCGGCTTACATACAATTTTAACGTAAGGACAGACCTTGGGAATGGAACTCGTTCTTACACTGGGCACTACCTGTATTCCAAGGCTTCTCAGATATTTATTCTTGTAAGACTGTATATAAAATAGGAGAAGTGTTACCCATTAATCATTTATGGCTTTATTTCGCCTTTCAGTGCTTTTGTAGCTAGAGAGAGAGAGAATGTTAAACACGTGTGAAACCATTATTTTGGGCAAAGTCTGTTTTAATGTACATACAGTGTTAGCACTACTGATGTTGGAAATTGAAAGACTAGATTTTGGAATAACTCTGCCTTTGCTACTCTATTCTGAATGTTGATTTTTTTTTTTCATTTGTTTTTACAGACAGATGCAGATCCAGAAGTCTGCAAGAAGATGTGCAGGAAGAATGAGTTTGAATCAGTGTTATCCCTTGTGGCATATTACCAGATGGTATGACACTGCTTTGAGTGTGTATAAGTTTGATTGAACCTTGAATAGTTTAATTCTTACTTGTATATCAATAAATTTTAACATACAAGTAAGACAGCTTTGCTATAAGGATGCTCTTCCTTCCCCTCACAATCTCCAGCTTTCTTATTTTAAGCGTATCTCCAATCAATCTGACTAATTAGTAAAACTAGCAGGCAAGGCAGCCCTACTCTAAAGTATGAACCAGTGGTCAAAGTCTAAGAGCAGTGGCTGAAGTAGGAAGTCTGAAATCAGCATACTAAAACAAAAGAGTATTCTCAAAGTTTGCTTTGGACTCACTATATCAGGAAAAAATGGATGGAAACACCAGTAACATTTGGGGTCATATGCATGCTTTGTTTTCCCCCAAAAGTAGAAATAATTAATATCTGAATTTGAAAGATTTAGCTGCCCTGTTTTAAAAAGCACCACTAAGGAAGAGAAGCAGCAGCCTTGTTGTCATTGGAAGGAAGGATTTCCACAGATGCTTTGGGAACTTTGCCAGGTTGTTCCCATTCCTTGCTTAATTGAGGCACATCTGTGCATTGGTAAACAGCATTGGGTTGGAATTGGGTTATGAGACTTCCCTGGGACAAAGGAAGGAAATCAAGTGTGCAAAGGAACATGATGGAGTTTGCCTTTGAGCCCCCCTCCCCAAATCCTTTCCTGTCATATTCCACTCTGAATGAGTACTGCTAGTTTAGCCTGGCCTAAATACTCCCTTTGAGAGCCAGTTTGGTGTAGTGGTGAAGGCATCAGGCTAGAAACTGGGAGACCAGGAGTTCTAATCCTGCCTTAGGCATGAAGCCAGCTAGGTGACCTTGGGCCAGTCACTCTCTCTCAGCCCTAGGAAGGAGGCAAGGGCCAACCACTTCCAAAAAATTTTGCGAAGAAAACTGCAGGGACTTGTCCAGGCAGTTAGTTTCCAGAAGTCAAGGCTGACTCAAAGGCACATGCAAATACTCTCTTTAGCTCACCATATTTGGGATCAAAGCTACTTTGCCTTTTTTTCTTTAACCTGGAGTCCCCCAGCCTGGCACCTCCTGAATTTGTTTAGACTGCAACTTCTACAGTTCCCAAGGCCATGCTGTCCTTGGAACTGCAGTCACAATGTAACAGTTGGTGGAGGGAATCCAGAACATGAACTGCCATACAAGATAGCAGTATGATTAATAGCTTATATTTCTAGACCAACAAATAACAGGCTTACCAAATCTAAAATACCTGATCAGTCCTAACATTTCTTCAAAGACAGTTGGCCTGCAGATGGATAATTCTGAAGGAACTAACTTGCTAGTATAAAGTAAGAAGCTTTCCTTTGAGGAATAGTCTTCCTTTGGACCTATATACTTTGGTCTTGGAGATGAAGATTCACTGGCAGGATCTACATAAGGCAGGAGAGAAGCTTCCAGCACAGTGTTCCAGGGCTCACTATAGGTTTCAACAGTGTTTCCAGTAGTGACTTGGATTCACAGAAATTGAAGGATCCTAGGCTTGTTGAGCTAATGACAATCCTACAGGGGCAAGTTCAAAGTTTTATGCATAAGAAAGAACCACATTTGGGAATGATTGACAATTGTGTTCTGTGTTGTGACTTAGGCTATTTTGGGTAACAGACTGGAATATAGATTAAGCTGTAAGTACGATATAAAGGGTACTAGTTTAGACTGAACGCAGAGGAATTCTGTGGAATTTCAGGAATACTGGAAAATTCACAAAAACTAGTGTGAGCCAGGTTAACTGTGATAAGATCCTTAGAAGTACTTAACTTTTACCTAGGCAGCAAAATTCAAGAAAAACAAGATGAGTTATTAAATGGATTTTAATAATACTTTGAATACTATTGATTAATATTACTTTGATTAAAAGCAGATTCTAAGTGAAACTTACATAAACCACTTTGTATTGCCAATTGACAGGTTGATGGCCAAGAGATCTAATAGTTCTTTGATATTGAACATTATGTCAAGAAGAGAGAACAGCAGAATTTATGAAAAATAGGACAAAAAAATATGCAGTGATCAAATGTTGGTATCTTTACAATTTCTGATGTTCTGAATGGCCATCCCATAAGGATGTGCTTACTGAAACTATTGCAATCAGCATAGAGGAATTGTTTCCTGAGTTTACATGGACTGCTTCACTTTCTGAATAACAAGCAAAAGAAACATGCATTATTTATAGCTGGGTATTTTGTTAATTAAAAACAATTTTCTTCTTAAGGAGCACAGAGTTCCATTACGCCTGCTGCTTCTGAAATGTTTTGGAGCAATGTGCAATTTGGATGCTGCTATTATTTCTGCTCTGGTTAATTCTGTTCTGCCAATGGAGCTAGCCCGAGATATGCAGACTCATACCCAAGGTGAGGCATATGTTATACAGTAAATCTTCCTATAACTCAGAAAGAATGCAGATTTTTTGGCTACTGGTGATATGTCACATTATTGTAAGGCTTTTAAGGAATATATTCCCAAACTGTATTGCAGTAATTGAAAGGATGGTCTGTGCGGAACACTATTTGCTGGAAAATCTAGATATAGATTTAACTAATGAATAGTAGTAAAGGTTTCGATTAGAATCTCTTCCTTTTCTTCAACAATCTGTGATACAGGTAGCAAGGGAAAAAATGAGATTAAAGAGTATGATGGTAACTTCTTTAATAGATTATAGGAATGCTGTAGACATACTTTTTTTCATCCTAGCATTTTTCCTAGAAGGCAGAAATAAAAATCAAAACGATCTTGGTGGGTTAGAGAAATGGGCAGAAAGTAACAGAATGAAATTTAACAGAGATAAGTGCAGAGTTCACTTCAGAAATAAAAACCAAATGTGTGGGTAAAAGACAAATGCAATTTTCGGCTGCATCAACAGAAGTACAATTCCAAATTATAAGAAGTAATTGTCTCATTTTTCTGCTTTGGTCAGATCCTACCTTGAGGACTGTGTCTAGTTCTGGACACCTCGCCTTAAAAAAGATACAGAAAAACTTGCATAGGATCAGAGAAATGCAGTGAGGATAATTGGGAACTACAAACTAGGAATATTGGTGGTATGTTTAATCTTTTAAAAAAGAGGAAGGGAGGGAGAAATGATAGCACTGTCTAAATACCTGGAAGGATATCTCGTAGAAGGTCAAGATCTATTCTCATGTTTGAGAGTGCAGGAGACCGAACAATGGATTAAGTTAAAAGAAGGTAGATTCTGATAGAAAAAAACCTTCATAATATTAAGAGCAGTTTAACAATGGAAGCAATTACCCAGAGATGCGGGGGGGGGGTTGTCTCCCCATCATTGGATCTGTTCAGACAGAGTCATCTGATGCCTTGTTCTGGATCCCTGAACTGGGCAGCAGGTTTGATTTAATGCCCTAAATGGCCCCTTCCAACTCCATGACTCTATGAATTTTTTGGTGACAATCAGTTTTAGCAGTAATTTTCCGAGGGGAACATCTTTGTTCCTGATGGCCCACCAACAATTATGTACTATTATGGAGAAAAGAAGATGAAGGCATGGATATAGCTAGAACACAACTTTTTTTCCAGACTGGGGGAGTTAAAAAAAGAAGGGACACTATTTTAGAGTAGGAGGACATAAAGAAGCCATAAGGGTTGTTTTAAGGTGGGATTCTGAAACTCTTGAGTAATTTTATGTGGGACTTTAGCTTTGAAAGCAAGGTTCTGAAAGATGCCATCATTAGCATTTGATAGACAGATCATAGGTGTCCAGCACTTGGGGGAACATTCATACAGCATTGCTGAACATACAATTATTAGCAGTTAATAAAAACATGGAAATTTTGTCATAACTGTTTTTTTAATACATTGGCTACAGATTCAGCAGTTAGCAGCAGAAGCTAAGAAGGGTCAGCTCCAGTTAGTACTTGAATAGGAGACCAGCTTGGAACTCCATGGCTGGTAGCTGGATGGAGAGGTTGAAAAAACATCCTGGAAGAAGGCAGGGGCAAGCCACTTCATAGCACTGCCAAGGAAACCTCATGCATGGAGTTGCCAAGAGTTCAGCTTGACTGAGGACATCGTTGTCTTGTTGTCAGGACCAAAAAAACCCACAATCTTTTAATTAGATATGTTATTTTTATTTTAAATGGCATATCGCTAAAAAATCTGGTTTAATAGGAATGACACTTCTATCTAGGATATACAGTAAATAGAATATTTTAATAAACATGATCAGCTGCGTTAGTGTACTTTCCTTTTAAGAAAAAACTTTCAGATGAAAACCTTTTAAGAGGATCCGTTAGCGTGCATTTGCCCAAAATATCAAAGATAGGGTTGATAAGACAGTAAAATGATCTTTCTCCATTGCAAGCAGAAGAATATGACAGAAGCAGAGGCTGAGCTAGGGCATGAGAACATTTTATTTGATCAGACCCCAGCTCTATCTGGTTCTGATTCTGGCCATCAAGACTGTTCTTCCCTGCAAGTAGAAATATCTGGTGGACAGCCTTACCAAAATGAAAAGGGAAAGCCTGAAGAAGCGGCAGGATGGTGTAGGGCTATGCAGTGCTTCATATTCAAAGACACACAGGTGCTTTGCGGTACGGGAGCATGAATGTAGCACCTGTGTGCAACTCCTTGAAGCAGCCACGCCTTTCTCTGGAGAAGATGTGTTGGGTTGAAGAAGTCGCAGACAGATGAGATGCATTCTAAAGCATCCTTTGAATACAAAGCCCTGCGCAGCTGCGGGAACTAGCTTTTCACACACCCGTATCACTGCTCTGTAATACATTCTGATCCCAGTACTGGATACAGAATCTTTTATGCACGTCCTTTGAGATTTGCTGTGTGTGGGTGTGTGCACACATACACACACACTAATACACACTAGTTTTCTTTCTATCACAGGAGTTTATTGATTGTCTGCCATGTCGGAAGAGCAAGTATTTCTACGTTTGTTTGCAGAACTCTTGGGAGGCTATTTCTCTTTGCTGATTGATAGTGGTGCTTAAAAATGATGCTGTGACACTTCATTTTAGCGGGACGTTTGCCTCTGCTTTGAGAGGCGTCCTGGCTTGCTGCCATCTAAAAGGTGGGGTTCCGTTGCATCCCTCACTGACGCCAGGCCGTGGCATTCTGCTGTGTTCAGTCTTTTCTTCCAAGAAATTCCTGCCATCACCCATTCAGTGTTTATATTCTTTTACACATCTGTATTTGGCTGTTGGGCAGCCAGATGAGTGGAGGCCTCGTTGTGTCTTTATTTTCCCCCTTTTCCTTTCTTTCCAAGTCCCACCTGCATATCCAGTTAAGCTCACACAAAATTGTGTTGTTTTTGCATTTGTGCTGGACTCTTGGTACTTTCTTGATGGTAGAACCTTCCATCTGTTCGGTGTCAGGCTCTGGCTTTGTGGTTGGTATTTGCTTCCTAGATGGCATGAATTTATAGCAGCATTATAATCACCCCCATCTTCTTACTCCTGTTACTACTTTTACATTTTAATCCTGCTTTTCAGTACCCAGCAGTTCAAATCTGTTAGCAGAGGGGCACACAAGGCTGGAATATGAATCCCACACATGTCCTGTGTCTGAGGTATCAGTTTCAGAAAACGTATCTCTCTGTTTGCTCCTTGCCATATTCATTTTCTAATCAAAGCTTGTCTTTTTCATGGTTATGAGTTACATCTACCTTGCATGCATGCCACTGCTAATGTGCTAGAGAGCCTTACCTTGATTGGCACATGTTCTTTGATGGCCAAAATGATCATGTCTCTTTCATTGATGTTCAAATGGCAGTTCAATTGAAATAACAATTTGCAAAGAAAGAGGACTGCGAACGCTATAGCATTGAATAAGCAGGAAAAGATGGCAAGCGCTTTGTGCTGCTTTCATTCCTTTCTAAGAGCTATTTTGTAACAGTGCTTGGATGATTTTTTTTTCCTGTTGCTGTCAAAGAACTGTAAACAAAATTTCTCATGAAAAATGACTTTGCGTGTTGTAGTGATAGAAACTTACTTTGGTGCTAGCAACTTGGGAATCGAGGCTGATCCATCTTCTGATAGACTGCAGTGTCTAATCCCTTTTGTGGCTAGCAGAGACCCAGGTAATCCTTGCTGACTCTCAAGCAACTAAGATTGGTGCCCAGTCAGCAGTAGCTATTCTGTAGGACCCTTCCCAATTTTAAAGAGAAACATAGGATGCTAAAACACTAGATCCTAGATGATTTTGATGACACTTCTGCCGACACAGGCAATATGGCTGCCGCCCAGTTTTCCTGCTTGAGTTAATTTGCCCCAGAGAGTTTCTTTGCTGTTTGCTGCTGGCTGCAGAGCTTTAGAGTATCCTTCTGGAAAGCTTTCTGTCAGATACAGCAAGGCCCAGTTAACTAGAACAGTTGTAATCCAGTCGCTACATCAGCCGGCCCAAGTCACCGTAGAATGCACACATAGCTTTAGCGTTAGTCTTGCTTTCTTGAACTTCACCCATCCTCTCCTTGCTGTAAAACAAACTCCTTTTGTAGCACTTAAAGTCATGTAAGATGTACTGTATAGTTAAGTTCAGAAATTATTGATGTTGACTCAAAACTGTCGGAAATGCATTTTTCAAGCACTTCTGAAAACTGGCTCAGCTGTGTGCATTTTGTCTGATATCGGCAGCAGAGTCCCCTGGTGATTTGCAGTATTATAACTTCAAAATGAATACAGTTGATTGCTGTTTTCTCCCTAGAATTGTTTGCAACCTCCCTCTTTTTTAATACACCCGTGGTGCAACAAGCAGCCTTGTCTTTTGCAGAGAGGTTTGCTTGGGACACTCTATTTCCTCAAAGTTTAACTAACTAAAATAAATCTTGTAATTTCATATTAATGAACTCAGCATTTATAGAATAATTACACTGACTTATCTGCTGCGCATCTTTTGAAGTTCTAGTGTTTTGATGTAACTCTTCCTGATCTTTAATTACTACTGCTCTTTCCCTCTTCAGCAAGTAACAGCTACTGGGTTTTGTAACATAACAGCAAAATGTATTGATATATTTTATACTTGAATTGCCTTACAGTGAAAGCAGTATGCTTGAAGCCCTGTATTGGAGAAGACTAGCTTTTTTTTGTAGTATGGAATGTTTGTTCATAGAAACCTGGTTTGTTCCATCCTGGCTCAGCTCAGATAGCGTGACCAGAGAAGCATTAATTCCATAGGCTAAAAATTCTGGCAATGTTTTGTTAACTGACTGAAGGCTCCTGCTTCCATTCCTCTGCTGTGAGGGATATCCAGGACCCTAAATGAGTAGAATTCAAAGTCCCCCCCCCTCAGTTTTTTGTCTCTACAGGTATCTGCCTGTAGAGACCGACATAACAGGTGAAGGACTCAGAGAAGCTGGCAGGAGACCCAGATGTGGTCTGTCAGCTGCTAGTTGTCATCCATTCACTTTGAAAAACAGTTACTTGCTACAGTGATAAGTCAGTAGGTCTAGAGCTGGAAAAGAAATTCATTACAGGTGTCGGGGGGGGGATGATGCAGTCTGCCAGAATGTATTCTATAGTGAGCAACAGTAGACCAGAATCCTCCCACATTTATCATTTTTCACTCAGAAAGTGCCACCAAATCACTTATTTGGGAAAAATATACATGTAAATTGGGGGAAGTTGTAAATACAATAACTGAATGGGTCGGGGGTCAGCATTAATTCAGATTGTTCACTAGAAGTTCATTCCTTTCCTTTCCAGGAAATGTGAAGAGCAGGGCACGTGTTGGCCTTTTCCAAAGGGGAAGATTAGATAGCACCATCTCTAGCATGCAGCATTTGAAGTACTTTCAGATGAACTTCCCAGACTTTGTTCTCCCCAGGCCTTTTCTTTTGGGAGGAAGTCCAGTCAGTCACAATTTAAAAATGGCATATGCTGAGTGGGTGAATGGTATAGAGCAGTGTTTTTTAAGCTTGGCAACTTTAAGATGTGTAGACTTCAACTCCCAGAATTCCCCAGCCAACATGTTTCCTTGTTCTGCTTATGTAAGAACAAAGGGAATGCATCCAAAGCATAGGACTTTTCTAACCTCTTTTCAAGTTTTCCAAAAAACTTGGGTCAATCCTGCCACAAACAGTATATATCTGTCTGACTCGTAGTGCCAACTCATGGAGAGTGATAGCCATGCCAACTCAGAGTGAAACGAAATAACACAATGGTCAGGAAATGGACAAATTTATGCTAGTCATCTTGTAAGATTCATAACCTGAAGATCAGTCTGTACTTAAATAACTTTTATTGGATTATTCATTACTGCATATAATGCCTCGACTTTGTACATTTCTACTTGACTTAATGATCTCTTATAAATAGGGTGGAGTGTGTTTCTTGGTGGCCATATGCCTCTCATGCAGCGTTTCTTACATAAAGCCCTGTTGAAACATACCAACTAATTAAGATTCAGGAAAGACAGTGGCTGTGATTCTGTGGAGCATTCATACGCACTGGATGTGAAAATTATGCTGTAGTAGCAGGCTGTGGGACAGGTTGATGCATGAGATCCGTATGTGCTTTGGAAGGAAGCAGAAACGCACACCTGGAACGTTACTGAATCTCAGAAGATTTCTACTCATGTTTGCCTGTGCTGGTCTTTCCCACAGAAAATCTTTCCCTTGCTTTAGGAAAAGCACTTAAATTATAGCTAGAGGATATGTTTGTGCTAATGTACTTTATATGGGGAACTGTTTTTAATTTTTATTTATTTATTTTAAATTATTGTGCTTATCTTCCTGCTGGAAGTTGACAGTTTGGAAATATGCAAAAATGATCAAAGCAGAATAAAAGTGGAAATTAACACGGGGGGAAATGTGGTTCATGTCAGCAGGAGTGAAATAAAACCTCATAATCCACATACTCAGAATCACCCCTCAAAGGGCCAGGTCTTCATCAGGTGCCATAAAGCATATCTTCTCCAGGAGTGCAGTCTGCAGCATTAACTTACTCCACCTGCCGTACCTTATTTTGTAAAGAGAGTGTGCATAGATTTGTAGGCGCTTAAGCTTTAAGACACATGTGGAAACAGGCAGCCATCCAACTGGCCACAATTTCTGCCCAGCCAACAAGCAGCTAAGAAAATAATTATCCTGTATTTGCAGCAGACTAGGATGGGTTGGAATATGATTTAGTTGCTTAGCCATGCCATAAACCCGTCTACTTACCTTACTGTTTAGCCAGCCTTGTCAGTGATCTAAATAAAGTTTGTGGATGTTTTTAAAGGGTCATTCAAAATAGAAATATGCCATCTGAATGCTTTAGTAAAAGAGTGCCAGGAAAGGCATAATTGGTTTTATTATAGAATAAGCTAGTGTAGAGCACTCCAAGACGTTGCTAGATCCTAGAACAGGTAGTGCTTCTTAATGTGCTGGAGAGGAGTTACCCCTGTGGCTTGACAGACAGAAGAAACGTCTTTGAAGTTTTAACCAAATTAGGAGCATATGATGATGACGTACACCAGCTTTCAAACATTGGCCTATTTAGGCCATAAATGTTGGCATTGGCTGGTAGTAACTATTCTGGCAGGAATGTTTCCAGTGTTGTTTAGAGGCCTGCATGCAAACTGTTTGCTTTGCTATCATCCTCCAGCCCTGTTTGCAGACAAAATTTGACTCGGGGCTAATGGTGAGCTACTAGTTTTGTGGGTGACAAGAAATGCCTGTAAAAAAAATGAGGTTTCATTTAACTTTCAGATGTTGCTCTTTAATCTGATACATATTGTAGAGCATTTACACTCAAGGCTTCCTTGTGGTTGTTGTGGCCTAGTATACGCTATCTCCTCATACTGAGATATGTAAGAATTTAAAATGTGCATATGTGTTTAAATCTTTTGCATTTGTTACATGTACTTTTCAGTTGTGGCTGTATGGGTGTCCAGCAGAAGACTGGTTCTGTACAGAAAAATATGGTGGGTTCTGAGGGTGTGAATACACGTCACTCTACCATGCCAATATTGTTCGAGTTAAGCCACTGTGCTGTGTTTTGTTTTTTTTCCAGACCATCAGAAGATGTGCTACTCTGCATTGGTGCTGGCGATGATATTTTGTATGGGAGAACCTCTACCATACCATCACTATGGTGAGAATGATTTCCACCATAATGGAGAAGTAGGTGGCAAGCATCCATTTAATAGAACTGGTTTCTTGTACTCTGTCTACCTATAATTAAATGGAGACAGTTTGATCAGAGCCTCTTCTTCACAGTCTGGGAAAAGGCTGCCAGAAAGCTTACAAAAGGTTAGGAGAGCAGGAAGGAGTCCACCTAAAGGAAACCTTATCTATTTTTGTTCGTGCGTTGAGTTCAGTTCCCCTAAGATTGCTCAAATTTCCTGCAGAAATATTTCCAGATCTCTCTTACTAACTGGGAAAGTACCCTAAGGATGATAAAGTAACTTAAGTCCTTAACAGAAACTATGCAAATCAGAGCTTGTGACAGCATCTATCTGGCTTCTAGAACAAGCTCTAGGATGGATCCCGGTGTTCTTTAAACTATTTGCATTGTACTTCAGATGTATGTGTTATATTTTTAATCCATCCATTCCACAAACATTCTAATACACAACATCAAGAGAACCTAGGCTATCAAGCAGTACAAAAGAACCATAAATAAAATAAATTTCTAATGTTGTATTAGAACTAAAATTAGCTACTTGTTTATTGCAGTGAATAGATATAAAAATACCATGATAGTTTTGGGGACACTTCAGAAAAAGCAAAGGGCAGGCTTATAGTATAGGGCAACTTGCTAACCAGAAATAAGAGTTTTTTAAAGGCCAAACTAGAATATCTGGATTGTAATTTTTTTTAGTTTTTTCCTCACCAACAAGAAAAAGCAATAAATCACCGATTTATCTTCCAAGCACTGATCCAGGTAGCCCTTCACCATCAAACTGTTTGACTGGCAGAACAGATAGCAGTTTTGGGGCAGCAGGGAAGTATTAAAGAAGATGTCAATTCCCCTTGGAATTTTGGGAGCAACATATGCCAAGCTGGACAATATAAGAGAGTAAACAAAGACCTCTGCTTTTATTGGCTTTGCTGTTTTATCTTGGTGTGATCCTACAATTGTTTTCTTAAGATAATTTTATTCACATAAGGTGTAGAGCTTTCATAATAGATATAGCAAACAATGATGGGTGGCTAGAGTTTAGGCTTAATTGTAACTAGACAGACTATTGTGGGATAGGTAAATATGTGCCTGTGATGCAGTAGATAAAGAGATTTATCCCTGGCATACAGATCACTTTCAAGAAGATGTCTGTTCCTCAATGGCATAGAGTTCAGTTTTGGAGTGGAAATCTTTGCTGAATCTGCAGTAACAGAAATAGTGTGTGGGCTTCAGGCAGAAGTTGGGGAAACTTGCTTAACCATCAATCTCCCCCAAATTCTTTTTTTCTCAAATTGAGAAATAGATAGTAGAAATTGCAACTGTGTATGGGGATACAAGAAAAACAGTAGTGAATAAAGTATTGGTTTGATATGCCCCCCTAGAGCATATCATTCTCCCCTCCAAACTGTGTCCTCCCTCTCCCTCTGCTCTAGAGATATTCCTCAGGAGATTTGAGTTCATAGGTACAGGTCTACAAATAAACGTAATTTGTCTCCTACATATCTCACCACCTTAATCATGTGCCAGCTAGCTCCAAGAATGGCTGGTTTTAACCAGTAAGGTTAACATCCATCTCATGCTGGAGTTAATCCAATCCATGTAAAAATGCAATGTCTGTGTTTTTCTCTTTTTCACAGAGCATCTCAATTCCCAATTTATTCAGTTCCTATTAAATGTGATTGAGGATGGATTGCCATCAGATAACACAGACCAGCTGCCTGATCTGTTCATTAATGTTCTTCTGGCTTTTAATCTTCACATTCCAGGTCAGTGGTGGTAGTTTTACCAACTGAGATTATATTGGGATTTCAATGAATGTGAAACTTCTTTTCTCTGTCATATGCTGACCTGCAAACAGCCTGAACTTGCACATGTTGTAGAATAAGGGATATTTTGTGCTTCAGAATTCTGAAAGTAGGAGGGCTTTCTTCTTAAGGGAAGGAAAAGGAAAGGAAGCCATTCTTAAGAAAGGCTTAAGCTTTTCCTGAACTCACCAGCCAATCCCACCTGAGATAAACAGCCAGCCTTGGTATGGCATCCTAGTGCCCCCAGAGCATCTGATAAATCGTCCCAATGTTGAGGGAGGTTGTGGTTGTTTCCCAAAAGACCCTCTCCATGTAGTCCCATTTCTACACAGGCAAAACTGGGGAAAAATACACTGTATCTTTATAATGCCATTAAAGGTTATTAGAAAGGTGGGTTTAACTCCTAGATAGTTTATGATTTGCTGGCTAAACCCAGGATATCATAAATGAAACATGGTAACTGGGGAAAGCAACAGTCAATCTACCCCAAGAGGTTGGCTTTCTTTCACATTCTATAAAATTGAGGAGAAGCACTCAGAAAAAGAGGAGAAAAGAAGAGAGACCATGAGGGCCTGCCTGTGAACTCCCATGCAGGAGGCCCAGGTCATCTGTCTCCAACCATCTTCTCTGCAATGAATTGAACATCCACTGAAATCCAAGAGTTTATTCAAGGAGGCAATAAATGATTAGTTTAGCTAGAATGACTATGTTGATTTTATTTGGAATGTTGTGTGTATTATTTATTTAGATTTAGAAGGCTGCTCAAATCCAAATGACTTGGGGTGGCTTACATAATTAAAAGAAAACAATTTGAAGGAAAAGAACATGTGCATCCAGACAAAATACATGTTACATAACAAAAACTCCACCAAGGGCTCAGCAACCAACCTAATCCCAAATGTGGGGTACAACCATGTTTTCCAAGACTTGGGGAACTCTTGTAGGGTGGAAGCCATGTGAATCACTGGGGTGATGCTATTCCAGAGGGCAGGTGCTGCAGCAGAAAAGATAAGCTTCCAGGGTCCTGCTAGAGTACATTGCTTGACAGAAGGGACCCAGAGCACCTGTACTCTGCCCAGTCTTACTGGATGGGTAGAAACAAGTGGTTGCTCAAATAATCAAGCCCTATGCCAGGAAGAGCATTATAGGTGACAATCAAGATCTTGAATTGCACTTGGAAGTCAACTGGCCACCAATGCAGCTCATGGGGCAACAATGACACATGGATGTAGCTATCACTGCCTGTGCCACTGCATTTTGGACCAGCTGCATCTTTGAGTGTTCTTCAAGGGCAGCCCCACATAGAGTGTGTGCAATAGTCCATCCATGAGGTGACTAGGATGTGAATGGCCATCTGAAGGAATGGGCACAGCTTGCACACAAGATGGACCTGTGCAAAAGCCCTCCTGACCCCAGCTGCCACCGCTCCTCAAGCAATAGCTGTGACTTCAGAAAGACCCCCACCTTGCGCACTAGTCTTGAATGGGGAAGTCCCACCCTATCCAAGACAAATGGTGAAAAATTCCCAGATCCAAAGGGTCCAGACAGCCACAGCACTCTTTCTTGGCAGGATTGAACCTGAGTCTGTTCCTCCCCACCCAGACCTGAACGAAGTCCAGACACTGGGTCAGGATATTGTTGCCTTCCTGTCCGTTTCCTATATATCTCTTTTCTCCCCAAAAATCCTTTTATCTAGAGATATAAAATTTCTTTATTAAGGAAATTTCTCATTAAAACTTTCTCCACATGCAAAGGATACATGGCTGCGTAGCTACCTCTTGGGTTTCAGAATTAGAACAAAATTCTAGAGCCCAAGAAGCCCACTGCTTTTAATCCTGGATTTGAGCACATACCCGTCATGACTAGGTAGCTACATCCTTCATGAATTTGCCTAACACCCTTTAAAGTCTATGGCAGCTACCATGTTCTGCAGTTAACCATATTTTAAATGAAGAACTATCTCTTTGATTTGAATCTCTCCAACAGTCACCAAATGAATCTGTGTTCTAGTATTTTGGGGGGGGGGCAGGGGGAAAAACATTTTTTTGTTTTAATTGCACACATGATTATTTATAAGCCTCTGCTGTGTCACCTCTTAATTAGCCTTTTGACAGGCTATCGTGTACTACTGTACCCTCAGTAATGTATTACTGTGCACTCATTTCATTCTCATCCCATAGGAATGATTCATCTTGAATCAGATGTTCCCTTGCTTCTGCTGCTTTCCCCTGTGACTAAAGCATGTGTGTAAGAGCATGAATGTTCATAGTCTCATAATCTTTCATTTTGCAACTAGAAATTCAGAGCTGGAATGCTGGGATAAGGTTCCAGCTCTGCTTATAACAGAACCACTTTCCATTTTCCAATACCCACCTCACAGTCCTACTGGTGTGTACAAAGCCTGGGTTGCATGGGTTAAAACTTCAGGAACCTCTGCTTTAAGGGAGAGGGCATTTCACAGGACTCTTATCAGTGTAATTCTGCAGTTAGCCAGGCATCTTCTTCCTTTTAGTGAGTGGCACATTTTCTGCTTATCCCTTGCTGTGCCTTGTGAATCTCATTAATTGTAGAAGCATTGGAGTCGTCCTTTCATTGTTCCCGCCTAGTCAAACCTTTTGGGAAGCAGCTTAAGTTATTCTGGCTGGTAGTGACTGCAAACTTTTTAAAAATAATAATAAAGCAGGTCAAAAGGTGCTATGATGTTGGCTTACCTCTTAACCCCAGGCAATTTGGCAGTTGTCATACTGTTAAATGTTAGGTGTCATTTCTTAATTGCTTAGTGCATTTGCAAATGATGCCATCCCACATTGCATCGTTTGGATGACAGGTGGGGTGGGGAATAAAAAACTACTTACTATATCCAGCAACTTGCTATATAGTTAAGGAAAAACATCATTAGTATGTGGATGGTAATGTGGGGTTTTTTCTTGCACACATAGAATTAATCATGTGAGTGGATCAAGTTCATTTTCTTTGCCCTTTTATTCATTTTTTTCTTCCTTATTGTGCTGCTTAGTATTAGAAATTACCCAGTTACACCTGCTGGACCACATAGCATTGGGAATTATTCTTTCTGTTTGGAATATGGTGGAAAACTGAAACGTCTCCTAATCAGGCACTCATTAAAAGATCCTCAGTCTCTTTATTGGGACTTTGTACGTCTGTGTTTAAATGAAACACTCCATCCATTGAGTCTTATGAATCCAGGATTTAAATGCCTGAAAAGTCTACTTTATGTTCAGCTACTTCAGGATGGTACATGGACTTCCTTGGCAGAAGTCTTAGTGACCTGCTTTGTACATCTCCCAGGGTACACTGGGGCTCTTGGATTTGCTCTCTCATGTTACTCTGACTGATTGATGGAAGCAGAGTATCTAATTAAAATTTATTTTAAATGTCTGTCTAAAGTATTTGGGGCCATTGCAAATTCTGATAGCAGAAAAAGATCTGTAAAATATGCTCTCTCTCCCTCTCTCTGCACACAGACTCAAACATGTGGTATCTGTGCTATGTAAGGATGCCCATGTATGTGTGTATATAGAAAACAAAAGGAATTCTAGATTAAAACAAACCATCACCAAAATCTTACTCATAAATGTATTACAAATAGTGCTTACATTTTAAAAATATCAAGAACAAATAAATATTTCTTTAAGCAGTTTTACAAAGTGGTAGAGCAGACTTTGTCAGGAAATCAAACACACAAAACTCTGATATAAAGCATAACCTTAACAAAATCCTTTAATTAAAAATCTTCCCTTCGGATCAGGGTGGGGAGAGGCCATCTTGTTGATTCTTCCTAATGTCATTCGCATTATTCACTTGATTTTAAGATGGCAGGCAAAACAAAAAACAACACTTCAAACAGTATTTTACAGGCAGGAAGAGGGGCTGCTGGCATTGCCCAGCATCCTGTCATCTGTTGCTACATCTTCATTGCAGATTCTGTAAAAGTCATGCCCATGGTGTATGGCACAATAACGCTGATTCCAGAAGGAGAGGCAATACCAGTGGGCCACCACTGTGGGGCATTGGTTGAGCTCTTTCTGGATACCTCTTATTTGCTGCAGTGAAAAAGAGTGGGTGAGCTTAGTTTTTTAAAATACTTGTGGGAATAACTTCGGCTATTTAGTTAATCAGACGTCATTTGCTGACTGGAGAGTTAGAGAAATTTCAGCTTGCTTGTCACAACGTAAGTCTTCAAGTACAGTTCCGCAGCATAAGCCAGTCTTTGCCAAAATAGGATTTTTTAAAGATATATTAGTCTAAAATTCCCATAATTTCCAAATAGCCTGGCTGGAGCATATTCAGATTGCAGAAGTCTAGAGTAAGTCCTGATGAACATTGTACAAGCAGACCGGGACTGCCTGTTCTGAAATTAAAGCAGCAATGAAACACCAGCACTTTACATAAATATATCAAAGTTTCTATAGTTTAGATTTCTGTGCTTTGTTCTGTGACTCTTAAAATGAGAGTTAGGGTTACCTACTTCTGTTTTTTGAGAATGGATAATAGCAAATGCTGAGGTTCTGTGTACCACAATAATGACAAAAACACATGTTTTAAAAGTAGTGCTGTTGATTGTTATAGCTGTACAAATAAAATATAGGTGCAATTATGTGTTCCAGCTGAAAAAAGATTCAGGGGATGGTTCCACAAACAGTTGCAAGCTTTGCCATTACCACTGAAAAGACTCACCTCCTTGATGGATCACAGGAAGGCTATTCGAAAAAAACTTAGAAAGTCTCTGCTCAAATGTATTATGCTATAAATAAGTTCTAAATGGGAAATAGATCAATTGCTGAAATCCTTGTAACTGTATCCTTTTAATCTCAGTAAATCTGTGAGATTTACAGATCTACAAAATTCTGTGAGAATCTTGGAGACAACTGCTTTCAGCTTGAGGCCGCTGCTACAAACCTTGACAAAAATAATGGAAGAGGGAGGCAAATACTCTAAATCAATGTTTCTCAACCTTAGCAACTTGAAGATGTGGGGCTCCAACTCCCAGAATTCCTCAGCCAGCAAGGAATCCACTTCCATCATGCAGTCCCTCCTTGCCTCACTTCCAGGCATTCCATAGCAGGATTGGAAGTGACAGCTCCTCTCTCACTCATCTGCAGTCAATTCAGGCGCCCAGCACTTGCACATACAAGCCAGTCTCAGGAGTCAGAGGGGCGCTCTTTAAGGAGTATAGTGGCACCCACAGTTCACAGGCATAAGTACAGTTTCCACCTGCCATTCCCACCCACCACTGCATTGTCTTAAACAAATTAGGTTCTTCCTCTGGGCACATGCATATCTGCTGGCTCTGCACCTAACCATAATCAAGTTGGTTGGTTGGTTGGTTTTTAAAGACTGAGGCTTAGATGGGGCTACCTTGCCAGCTTCCATTGCATTTACACCCATAAACTCTAGCAGTCCTGTTCCAAACTTTACAGCTGAATAGCTAACACAATTGAAAGTCAGTTGTCTGAGCTTACATCAAGGTTTATTTGCTTATTGTGTTTGTCTCTGTGTGTGTATAAAAACAAAATCCCCTCTCACCCCTATGGGTGGTATGTGTCTTCTTCAACCTCTCTGGGAGTTTGAGGGTTCTGTGCAGTATCTTAGCTGTTCCTAGCACTGCACTCTTCTGGACTGCTGTCGAATGACTTCATCTGGTGGCTTCATGTAGATGTTAAGTAAGAATGGGGAGAAAGTCAAGCCCTGAAGCACCCCACACAAGAAGAGTTGTGGGGCAGACTTGAGAAAGGAGGAGAAGCAGCATAATGCTGTGCTCCCAACTCCTAACCCCCCTGAGCCAGTCCAGAATTATACCACGGTTAATGGTATTGAAGATCTCTGGGAGGTCAAAGAGAGCAAGGATGGGTGCACTACCCCCATCCCACTCCCTCCAGAAGTCATCCACAAGTGCAACCAATGCAGTTTCAGTCCCATATGCCACCTGAACCCAGCTGGAAGGGGTCCAGGTAACCCACTTCATTCAGGGCCCTTGAAGCTGCAAGGCAACCACCTTCTCTAAAAAGGAAGGGTTGGAAACAGGGCACAAGTTGTCCAAAATGGTCTGCTCTAGGAATGGCTTCTTGAGGACAGGACAGACCACTGTCTCCTTAAGGGATGGCAGAACTGACCCCCCTCAAAGATGCATTCACCGCCAACCAGACTCAACCACACATCTCCCAGGCAGCCTTGACTAGCCCAGAGTAATATCAAGATGGCCAAACTTACAGCCCCAAGAATACTGTCTACTTCCCTGAGGATAACAAACTCAGGATCAAACTCAGCCCAGATAACCAAGGTAGGATGTGCATCAGTCAACTGATGGGATCTGAAGGCATAGTGAAGCAGGCAGACAAACAAACAGGCAGACATTTCTAATAAACCCTCTTCTTGTTTCTTAGTTCCAGAGCATAATGTGATCATGGTTACTGTGAAGAAGCACTCTAACATCAAAACATTCACAGAGAAACTGCTACTGCTTCTGAATCGTGGAGGTGAGGTTATTTGCTGTTCTATTATTTGTCCAATTTGTGACAGAAGTAGTGGGAGAGTCAGTCTGAGGAAACTAGAGGCAGAGAGGGGTTGGTAAACAGGGTCTCAACTCCAGGAGATGTCTGCCTTTTAAAAGGTCTGGGTCAGGAAAACGAGGCCAGCATCTGCACTCAAGAGGCTGACCTGCTGAAATGCTGGCTTGGTTACTGTCCAGATGGCCTGCTTGTAAATGGCCTTCTAGATCATTTGCCTGGGCATAGTTCTACCCAGCAACACTGGGATCATGGTTCCTCAGACATACAACTAAAAAACGGAATATCTATGTCTTCCTAAACATCCAGCCCTAATGGTTGTAATAAACCACAGCAACTGAAAAGCAGTCTGCATTCTGCCTCCGTCCTTCATAAGGTTCATCAGGCTGGTTTGGTTCAAAATAATGCTCTGCACCCAGTGAAATGTTCCAGTCCAATATATGAGCAGTGTGATAGCTTGATTCATTTCCCAATATATGTTTCATGTATCACAAGAAAGGTACAGTCTAGCTTCTTAGGGAATCCTTTTCTTTCCCCCCTCCTCCTTCATCTTTCAATTAGTCGAACCATGGATTACTTTTTCCAGCAGTGAGCTCTGTGTTAAATCTCCTGAATCTGTACAGCCTATAGTAAAGCACTTCATTTAAAATCTGGAAAGCTCTATTTCTAGACAGCCTAATATCACTGTGTCCATGCTTTCCTCGCAAAGCTTTGTACAGTTTAATGCCTCTAGGAGCAGAAGGGCTATATTTGTGTGTGAAGAGTTAAGTGTATATCATTTTGAAACAAAGGAAAAATTAAATCAACAAACTTTGCCTCAAATGTTGTTTGAAGATTGTAGTTCTTTATTTCTGGTTTATGTTCTTTTCCAGATTGAAAGTTGTGTTCTTTGCACCTTGTCAGCCAAGGGCTGATTTTAGTTTAATACTACTCAACAGAGCTTTTTCCCAAAGCCTTTAGCCTATTCCATTGCCAATATGTCCACTGTTTGGAGAATCCACTGAATATTGAGTAGGAAATTAAAGTTTTCGATAGAAGCCTCCTTAGAAATATGTTCTGCTTCCCCAGTAGAAAAGAAGAACCAGTATTTTCTAAAAACATTGTGGAATATATAGATTGCTTTCCTATTTCTTCATATAGACAGCAAATGCAATGGCCTGTTGAAAAAAATACTATCAGGGCAAACAAAATATTATGGCTGCTCAGTCCACATATTAAAAGATAGGCTGGTTTATTAATTGTAGCAAAGGGCCATGTACTCGGCCCTTTGCCCATTTACACATCTTAGTAGTCTACTTACATTTATATTGCTCAATTAAAAAGACAGTCCCGGCATCAGATTTCAGTCCCGGCCAAAATTACACCAAACCTGTAGTGTGGATTCCCATCGTTTTAGGCAAGAAAAAAACAGGTACTATAGTTCTAAACTAGGCTCTGTGAAAAATCCAAGCACCCTACATGATGATTACATGTTAGAACTGCCACTCAAAACCTGGGAACTCAGGGCATCTCCTTCCAATTTGTACTTTGAATGGAAAAAGGAATTGAGGAGAAAGGGATTTGGGAAGTGTGGATAGAAGGACAGGTCTGAGGGAAGCTCAGGGTCCTAGCTGTAGAAAAACTATATGTCAGAGAGAGAGACTGATATCGTTTTATTGCCAAGAAAGGCAAGGATTGGTGGCCTATAAATGAGTTGTAAAATATAAGCTATACTACTGTAAGTTTGAATTAAGGGAACCTGCTGACAAATCATTTAAAATTATTTAAGTTATTTCAATTCCTTTTGTTGTTGTTGCCTTCAAGTCAGGGTTGACTCCTGGCGACTCCCTGGACAAGTCCCTGCAGTTTTCTTGGCAAGATTTCAGAAGTGGTTTTCCTTTGCCTCCTTTCTAGGCTGAGAGAGAGGGACTGGCCAGGGTCACTCAACTGGCTTCATGCCTAAGGCAGGACTAGAATTCACCGTCTCCCAATTTCTAGCCTGGTGCCTTAACCACTACACCAAACTGGCTCTCCATTTCAGTTCCTTGCCTAAATGTATAAAAAGTAACTGAGCTGTTCTATAGCTTTTCCACATTCTACCAAGTCATGTTACCACAGACATATATAAAGAAATAGAGAAGAAAAGCAAAATAATTTCCAAATCTAGAATGGGTTTGGTCATGACAACAAAGCCAGTAGATCCTTTAGAGAAAATCCTGAATTAATGGGATTATGCTTTAATTTTGAAGAAAAAGAAAAGAAAAATGATAAAAGGACCTCCATGGCAGCGAAAGTACATGACCCCCTACCAAATCAAAACCAGAAAAAAATTAAAACCCTGGGCTTGCCTGTAATTCTTATATTCTTTCTGCAATTATATAATGCCCCTGATCTGTGTGCTAGCAAATATGTGAATGAATCAAAGGAAGGTTTCCTGGCCCAAAATTTTGCTCTCCAACCACATACGATGGTAGTTTAATACAAGCAGCAAAGACAACACCAAGTACATTTTCTCTGGCTGTTCCAAAGCTTAGCACTGCAAGCAACAAAACTTTCCTTTCTCATCCCACCATCTGGTCATCAGTAAAGGCCCCAGAAATTGTCAAAGGTCTCAAAGAGATTCTGATGCAAAAAGGAGATCTTGCAAAAGAAGAAAAGTTGAGTAAACATAGCTTCTTCTACCAGAGTATTTTAATTTCAGAAGAGTTGCATGAGTTGAAATGTTCTCTTTCAGGCAATTAAACCTGGGTAATTAAAAAGCACACAGAATTTTATGCCTTATTGATACATCTGCTGTCATTGTAGCTGAAGTCAATTCACTCTATCTAATGTTTCCTCTCTGGAATAATTTTCTTTAATAAAGGGATGTAAGCTGTGGCTTGGAAGTATTTGATCTGCCTGCATTGCTCATTCATGCACACACATCCTTCCAAAAGCCGTGCTGGTTTGGTTAGAACAAATGCTACTGTAATGCCTGTACCCTGCTATATAAATGACTGCCTTTTAGCCAAATGAGATATGGCAGTGCATGACAGAATATACCTCTTTCTGTCCTCTCACCAGATGATCCCGTGTGCATCTTTAAACATCAGCCCCAGCCACCACATTCTGTGTTAAAATTTCTTCAAGACATCTTCGCTTGCAGGGATACTGCAAGCATCTTCTACCACACAGACATGATGGTAATGATTGACATAATTGTGCGACAGATTTCGGATCTCTCCCCTGGAGAAAAGGTACCTATAGGAGGAAAGGCAGTTCTAGACCTTTCTCCTCAAGAGGGAAAAAAGCATGAATTAGGAGATGAATGTTTGGGGCATACAATGAACTAGAAAGGTAGAAGCTTCTCTGTCTTCTGAGATCTTGTTGCTATAGAATGAGGGGAGGAATCTGTGGCTCCCCATATTACCAAACTACAACTTCAGCTGCCCTAGTCAACAAAATCAGTGGGAGGGGAATTATAGTTCAGGAACATCTGGAGATCCAGAGGCTGTTCTAAAGCATGTACAGTATCCTCATATCTACAGAGTTGAATAGATTAATTAGATTTCATTTAGATTTAAATTAAATTAAATTTCTAAGGTAGGTAATAGTCAAGCTACAAATTGCATTAATTCTAAAGCATAATTACCTAAAGTGACATGCATGGGATTCTGATTCAGATTAGGACCACCTTGCATGTGGAGAGGAAGTTTAAATTGCTTGCTTCCATTCTTAAAATTTTCCCATGTGGCCGAGACAGAGGAATTTAAAAAAACAGGAAGAGGAGATGTCCTTCAGTGCCAGTAGAAGCTTTTCCTTTTCTTAATGGAGGCATTGTTGGGATTCAAGTCTTAAGATTTCTTGCTGAACGTATAAAAAAGCTTTTTTTTTTCTTTTCCTTCCCTTTTCAAAACATTCTTTAAAGGAAATGCAAATTCAGAGAATAAAGCAACTTTAGGGGCATTTAACCAACCCCATCCTATACTTTGTAGATTTGTGCACCTACTTCAGAATAAAAAAACAAGGATAGTTGCAAACTAATTAAAGCAGTGACATGTTTAACCTGCATGACATAACCAATAACACTTCTTTTTATTTATATGTTCCTTGGAATCACTGTCTCCAGATAATTATACTCTGGGTATCAGAGATATATTTTCTGGTAGTGATGGCATATGGAAGCACATTATATTAATGCTGTAGATTCTGCATTGCTTCCAAAAGCCAATTCAAGATGTCACCACTGAATTATGAGGCCATGACGGATTTAGAACTTTATAGCACAAAATGCTGCATTTGAAATCACCCAAATAACTTCCTAATATCATATGTAAAAAAAAAAAAAACTTGAATGGGTACAGATGCGTTTGGTTCTCAGTCTCTCCATTATATAGGCATGATTGTGCATCATAAATAAGATGATTTGGAATATTTTTTTAAAAAAATATTTTTGAAGGATATGTGTTCTAATTGATGGATTCAGCTCAAACTTTTTAAGGTAGTCTATATTTCTAGCCTAATAAATATAAGCGACTGAGTGCTATGTTTTGAGAGTTCACTCTGTGATTGACCTGTGACAGGTGAACACTGAGGATTGTACCTGTCCTTTCTGGATTTTCAGCAGCCTCAAAAGCTGGATTTGGGTGGGAGTGGGGAGTTGTCATTGAGCCCATGTATTTTTTCTTCAAAGAGAGAGAAAGGGACTTTCCTTGAAAGGGAACACTTAATATACCTTTGGGATTCTTTTTTATCATATAGCCTAAGTGAGTATTATATAAAAACTATTCAGCCAAATGACTTCCTCAAACTACTTGGAGAAGAAAAAACCCACTTATCTTGATGAGTGTGAAAACAAGGACAGTTCAAGAATCTCCTTCAAATCTATTCTGATGGCTTGTGAGGGTGTTCCTGCACTTCACAAAGATTGACTCTTTCCGAAATACATGTGTTTCCAGAAAGCTGCCCCCTCCATTTCTTTTCTTGCTTAAAGCTTTTTCACCGTCTTCTGCTCTTACAGCTGCGAATGGAGTACTTGTCTCTGATGCATGCTCTCCTGCGGTCTACGCCATACCTACAGCATAAGCACCGTTTAACTGACCTGCGGGGGACCTTCCAGCGCATCATGGTGGAAGAGGAGGAGAGTCAGCAGTGCCAGATGGACAAAAGGATAATCCAAGAGATCTATAAAGCGTTTCCGGAGATATCTCCTGGAGCCAGCTAACTGATTCAAGGAGAGAACAGTGTGGAATAAAAATACCTCTTGTGGCTATATCTTTCCCATCCTTTCCACTATTGCTCCTGCCTTATTAGCCCTTCAGGTGAGTCCTAGAGTTTCAAGGGAATGTTAAAAGACCTGAGGAAAGAAGTTTCCACACAGATGCCCACCAGCGTGAAGTGCACTAAAGACGGCCTTTCTGTGTCTGCATCTGGGGTTGGGGGAGAACTTAGAGATTAGAAGGAGATTTGGCACTTGAGTGCCATTGGCATGATTTGACTGAAAGTAGGAGAATATTATTATCTCCCTGGTGATCTTTGCCCTAAGAGAGGACAAGTGTGATCTAAATAACTATGCTGTTCTTAGAATTGTAAAGCAGGAAGTCTCTGTCATAAACACCTGTTCCTCCATGCATTTCTTGTCCTGCAGCTAGCTAAAAAGTGGAGTAGGCTAATGTTCTGGACAACATGCTTCAGTAACTTTGTGTCCGCTACATCTAGTGCAAAGTTGCTACAGCTCTAGTGAGGAGGGAGCTACTCGCTTCTCTTAATGTGCCCAGTGAATTTTCTGATCCATATATATGTATATGGGTCAAACTCCCTTCAAGACCCTAATCCAAGCAAGCACTACTTGTCTTAAATGCTTCATGCAGTAGTGTTTACATTTGAATTTCTTGCACATTGAACAAGGACAAGAATACTGATTGTCCAGGCACTGCAGCAAGAGATCCTTCAAAAGGCCCGCCACTTAGGCTCACTGTTAAGGCGTGTCCTCTTTGAAAACTATTGCTTTTCTCCTGGTATGTGCTGGTCTTTTGCCTCTGGCGCTGCACGTATAAGGACTGTGTATCTGTAGGTGGCAGCGCACAGTGCTCTCTCTGCCTGCGGGTGTTCTTTGCCTTGAGCTTAGTGGCAATTGGTTCTGCCTAGCTTTACCTTTTCATACCTACCTGAGCCTGATGTCTGCTAGTGCTGCTCCTTAATATGCACAAGTTGGGAGAACTCCTCTTCACCTAATTTCTCCAGATCTGCTGCAAAATGGATTTACCCCCTTTCCCATTGAGCGCCTTTGACAGGCACATGCTCCGCTCCAGGCCGGGGCTGTAATATCTTAATAAACATGCATGCTGCCACAGCTCTTCACCGTGGGTAAACAAGAGCTTTGCAGCCTTTGCTGTAGCAGTAGCTTAAATTTAAACTGGAAATATTTGGATAACCTCTAAATCTGATAGATGCAGAAATACATTTGAAACCATTCCTTAGGACAGGGCATCTGTTGACAACGGTGCCCATCTAGGGAGCCTCTGCCATTGTCTGTCTTTCAAGTAGATAATCAAGACGTGAAGTAGAAGTTGCCATCCAAGATGAATGAACAGCGTATTTTTAAATATATATATATATTTAAAATAAAATCCTTGTGAATGTTGAAGGGGATTTGTATTTTCATAGAATCAAATAAACGTAGTCCACAGAGAAAAACATTTCCTCATTCTTGTCTTATTCAACAGCATTTCAGTGTTGCAGGGTATTGCGGGGTGTGTGTGTTATGAATGGTTACATTCCACTGCATTACTGCCATCTGACTAGCCTAATGGGTCAGTGTTGTGGGATTAGGTTTTTATTTGTACCTTCAGGCAGGAAGAGGAAAACAACTGCTGCTTATTTAGATGCATGCCATCCCCTTATCCTCCTCCCTTTCATGTTCTTCATGTTTAAAAGTAAGTCAGGCCATACAGGTACGTTTTTAAGCCACCTGAAACCACAGAATGGGAGTTCGGGGCATGGGATTCTTTTTAAATTAGTCAGAATTAATCTGGGGTGGCAAAATTGAAGAAGAGCCAGCCTGATAAGAAGCATCACACATGCACTGTTTATCTTGGGGCCAGCTCTCTTTGTGAACTGAGACTGCAGCCTAGAATTATTTCATCTAGGAAAAGAAAAACTTGGTTGTAATCCCTTCTTTGCCTCTTCTTCCCACCCCAGCAATGTCTGTTCAAAGAGGAACAAAATGGTGAAGGGCTAGTTTGTCATCCAGTTAGAATTCTGATCCCAGAAATAACAATACGAAGATTCATTCAGCACGGCCTGGGCAAAAATGAGCTGTGCAATAGCAGTGCTCTGGAGGACGATCCAACCACGTTAGAAAACTGACTGCAAAAACTCATGGAAATGTTGTGTGGGTTTTTTAAACATTGCACATCCATGCAAAAATGTGATGTGTTTTGAACTTATGCTTCAAAACACATAATGAGTGTAGAAGGTGAAATAGATTTGCCCCTTCTTGTGTAGCTATGTAATTGGTGGCCCTGCCATAAAAGCAGAGAACTTTGTGTCTGGAAGATATAGCTTCCTTCCATATGGTTTTCCATCTTTCTAATTTATTCTTGAAAATACCAAGCAATTTGGCAGGTATGAAATGTGTGAATGAAGCAAGAAAACCACATACTCTTTGAGATTGATGAGGTATATTTGATATATCATACGTAGTTAAAGATGACAGGTAGCTTATTTATTTTTTTAATGGATTTATAGGGCTGCCCAGCTCAAACAATGTGACTCTGGACAGTGTATAGCAAATGGGGTTCTAAATCAAAAAATATCTTTTACTTGTATGTGTGCCTTTGAGTTAATGGTGACTCCTGGCAGCTGCCTGGACAAGTCCCTACAATTTCATGGCAAGATTTTCAGAAGTGATTTGCCATTGCCTGCTTCCTACGGCTGAAAGAGAGTGACTGGCCGAAAGTCATCCATCTGGCTTTGTGCTTTCTCACGATCTCCCAGTTTCTAGCCTGGTGCCTTTACCACTACACCAAACTGGCTCACTCTTTTACATTTTTAGGATAGCATAATACCAACATCGTATGAGTAGCATAATGTATCCTGAATTCTATTTTGTTCCAGTTCAAAGGATTCATTTCCTTTGCACAGATTTAATGTGTGAAGGAAGGAGTCACCATGAATCAAACTAATGACCTATCCAGTATTTTGCCTGGCAGAAACTAATCTAGATCCTTGTGGAACTGCTTAGATCAGGAAGAGATTACTGTACTAACAGAGAACTCCATTCCTTGCCATTCTTCCCAAATTTATTGGACTTATTGTCAATCTCCACACGAACCAGTGCTGAAACAAAGCTATCAGTACACCCGTTGCCTCTGAATTTTGGTTGCTCAAAATGTAATATTTCAAGCGTTCTCTTTTTTGCTGACAGGCCAGTTCTTCCATTTAAGAAATTGGTTCATGATGCTAGCAGCTACTACCTTTCCCTTCCCCACTTCTGTTCTCTTTTAGCACTGACAATTGGCTAAGAACCATAATGCTCGTCTGCCAGCCGTGGCTCCTCTGTACCCATGAAATATTTTCAACAAGTTGAGAAGGAGCTAATATTGCTGAGGTGCTGGATAAGGCTTCTCCAGGATATTGTACAGGAGAACGAATAGGTTTAGCCAAGCACTTAAGATGATAAATGCCATTGTGTAACAGAAAGCAGAGGAGATAACTTGCAAAACAATTTGATTGGAATGGGGCAGGCCCAGCAGTTCATGTGATGCCTTTGATCTTTGTGCTGGCCAGTGCCCTTCCCAGAATGAGATACAGGAAAGCGAAATGCTGTCCACATAAAGGTGCCTTTATATATTTCCATGCGTATGCATTGTGTTGTTCAGCCGCTATTGGACTTACTAATGTGCAACTTAACCATTTTATGTCATTTGATGTTAGCCCTTCAAGGTAGTTCAGATAAGAAGCACGACTATGAGTACTAACTCTATCTTTATTGTAAGGTTACATTAACAGAACCTTGAAGACTGAAAGCATTTTTCCCCTCCTTTCCTTTTACTCTCTGGAAAACTAGAGAGGGTCCCTTCTGAAACATTTCCCAATCCCTCTCTCCATCTGTGGGCTGAGATATTTTTTACATGCTGGTTGTCCAGTCTGCAGCTCTTTCTCCTGTCTCCCAAGGTCATTCCCACATACCTTTACATCTTGTTTCCCTTTTTGTCATTGCAAAAAGTATACCTTTTACATTGGGTATCTTTTGGAGCGCTCAATGAGCATGGACAACATTGGTCCTAATATACAAAATGCAGGGATTTTGTTTGAGAGGAGTTTGTCCCCTTGAGGTTTTTGATACATTAGTAATGAATGGACGAAACCTGCTCCATGTTATCTGAATTTCCAGAACAATTTGTTCTTAGGCTGATATTTTACAGATGAGTCATATGATTTTTCTCAAAGATGTATTGCAAAGTAATGTCACCACCTCTAGTGTGAATTATTGACACTGGTTTGTGTTTTCCCCCCCTAAATTATATACTTAATTTAGTAAGTCTGGTCTTTAAATTATCTATCTATCTATCTATCTATCTATCTATCTATCTATCTATCTATCTATCTATCTATCTATCTA